CACCCCCCCCCCCCCCCCCCACAAAAAAAAACGACACCTGTGAGATTCGAACTCACGCTCCCGAGGGAAATGCCTAGCCTTACATTTCATGCATAGCAGGGCATCGCGTTAACCACTCCGCCAAAGTGCCTTTCCATTGGATGAACGATCGAACCTATATGAAAATTAAGAGACCTCCATCGCTACCTAGGTACCTTCACCTGATAACTAAGACCTTAGGCAATGTGTTCTTTATAATGATATAAGAGAAATATTTAGATGAAAAATCACGTTTTCTTATGGGCTCTAAATATCTAAGGCGATCTAAATCTTAAATAAACTGTAAGTTAACTGTGTGAAGCTTATGTCGTAGATTTAGCGCTCAAGTGGTCCAAGGGGGCCACGAGGCGAGGGTGACGGAGGTGCCACCGGAAACGTTGCGCCGATCGCAGCCTCTCTCTCTCCACCTGTTATGGTGATTGCGTATTTCCCGTTTGGCTCCTTTTTGGTTCCTTTTGGTTCCTGACAACTTACAATGTTCCATATCACTTTACTCAATATCTGAATCGACTCGATTTTTGCATGATGGCGTCGGAGGACGCGCCACTACACTTTCAAGATGCCAAGTCGACTCCGATGCTGTGGCACGTCTTCCACCGTCGGTCACGGACAAATCGGATTAAAACAATTGGCTTGTCAGTGATTGCATTGTTCTTCTTCTTTCTTATGCTAAAGTCTTCTTCCACGGTAAGGATCGCTTCCTGCTCCACAGACATACTGTGATTGCCAGGCTTGAGATAAAGAAGCTGACAACCTGCCTAGCGAGTTGAACCGGACTTTTGGACCAAGTTCCCGTCTCGCCATCCTTTCCCCCAGCGCCCGGAAGACGCTCAGGTCCTCCTTCCTCCCCGGGCCGACATTAATGTCAATGATACCCTCCCCCATGACCTGGACAAGCCCAACCCGCGCCTGCATGTCCTAGTCCCAGCCTCGCGGGGCTCGCGCGGAGTCTGCCGAACACTCACATCGGCTATGATCCTTGGATATCCACCGCCGACATTAATCGGTTATGAGCATGAATCTCCCGGAGCGACCGAGGCCGAGCGCATGGTGGACCGGATCGCACGGGTGCGGAACTACCTCCGAGACAGCAAGACCGTGCATGACCGGGACTTCGTGCTGATGGTGGATGGAGCAGATAGCTTCTTCCAATTGCCACCTAAAGTACTAGTAGAGCGGTTTCAGGCCATCCTAAGGGCGAACAACCGAAAGCTGCGGGACAAGTTCGGGTTCGCAGAACTGAGGGGCCAAAAGCCTGGTGCTGCGCCTGAGATGGTACAGAAATACACCCAGCGCGTTCTTTTTGGTGCAAGCAAGATTTGCTACCCCGGATTGCTGGACGACCCCGGTTGTGTGTCTGTCCCCGAATCGTCTCTACCTCCTGATGTGTATGGCTGGAAGACTGATGTCTACCCGGATGGATCTCTGAACCGACCCCGGTGGTTGAACCCCGGAGCAGTGATTGGTCAGGCTGCGGATCTGCGTCTGATCTACGATGAGGTCCTGCGGCTAGTCGAGTTGCGCTCGAACAGGTCTGGAGATTACAAGGCCCTAACACAGATGTACGGACGACAAGAGGTGATCAGAGAACTAGAGCGGCGGCGAACAGCCAACGACTTCAAAGAGTTGCTCTACCAGATGGTGGGCATCTCCGATGCAGCAAACATCACCGGAATCAACCTCCGGCTGGAAACAGGTCACCGCTACGAGTACGGCATTGGCGTCGACTTCGAGTCACAACTCTTCTTCAGCCAGATCATGTCCCGTAAGGACGTTGAGTGGGTCAAGTTCGGCAACATCACCAAAATGTCCGCGTTGCAGATGGAACACGGCGTCCCGCGCGAACACCGTCTCCTCCTACCACAGGACATCGCAGCGCTCCCCAACCCATTTGTCCAGTCCCGCTTCGCGAAAGAATCAACCCAGCGACCAGTATGGAATGCCACGCTGGACAAACTCCCGAACCCGCGCGAGCGCACCTGGCACAACATCTCGCTAATGACGAATGTTCACTCCGCCTCGGTGCCAGTACTCGCCCATCTCAACGGCGACCCCAAGCTCCGCAACACCTGGTGGGAGAATATGTGGTTTTTCCCATGGGGTCGCGCCCTACTGCGCAAATATGTCCGCGACTCGCACGGGTTCGACGCGGCTCAGTCGTCGCTGCTGGGCGGGCAGGACTGGCTGCAGGTGCGCGGAGGTCGAGGTGGGATCTGGACCGATGACGAGAGCTGGGTCACTCTTTCCGAGGTCTGCAATGGCCAAGAAAGAGATCTCTTCGACGATGACCTCGGACCATGGGCTAAGGAAAATGGTGACCCAGATGAACCGGTTTACAACCAGTATGGAAGTCTCATTGCTGGGAAGGAAGAGAAATTTGATTGAAGCTGGACTTTAGTTATTATTCCTCTCCTATTTATTACTACATCATTCTTAATCGATCGATGGCTGCCGGGTTGTTGAGGCCTCCTGCACAGATCACCGTCGCACCGAACCACATGCTCTGCCTATATCTCCACGTCGAGTTCCAAGCAGATCAAGTTCCGGAACCCGTCCGAGTTTTGAAGCTTGGATGGGTTTTGTCTTTTTGCATGACCGGCCTGATTGGCTAAGCCACTACTATAATGGCGTGGTCGGATTCACAAAAGAATTCAGATTTATTCTTATGTCGAAGCTGGGGATTCTTTCGACAGTTATCAGGAATAGCTGTACATTATCGGGTTTGGCTTTGTATGACTGCAATGCAAGTCTTTGTATGATATCACAATAGATCGAATCTTGAAAGAAGCCCTGCGATGACGCGTATATAGAACAACAAGTTGAAGTAAGCCCTCCTCTCTCTATCCGTTCCACCTTTTCTAGATGTGCATAGATTCTTTCTTTCAGCAGATGGTTCATTACGTAGCACTTTCTAGAACTGTATCTCCACATTCGTACTTGGTTTCGAAGAATACTGCAGTCATGGCACTGTTGGTGTGTCTGTTTGGGATGGCCCGGGATTGGATAGCGAAGTGCACTGAGTCTCTGCCTGCGTGATTCTACCGACAGTAGGTCCATAGCTGTAGAGTCTTATGGAGACTCTGCGCTGAGGGGTCTCTGGATATGAAAGAGCATGACAATCTCCACTCTGTAGTCAGAAGTTGAGAACCACCAATATGCGTCCGCTCGTAGTTGTGCTTCTGATTCAGAAAGACCGGTTTCAATAGCGAGCGAAGGCACTCCCCATAGTAAACAGCTTCCCATGATGGAGTAAAAGACTCATCGGGCTTCGGTGGCGCAGGTTTGTCAAATCTTTAGTTTAGAAGTTAGCTTCTTCTACAACAACTCAATATGAGTTCTCACATTCCATCATGCAGCCTTAGTCTCTCTTAACACAGTTGCTCGGTTTTCACGGCTTGAAGGGAAACCCTCTCAGATCGGCTTTGCCACAGCACTCAGCAGCCTAATTTGACGAAACTCAGGTGATTCGCAGTGTTGTCCGATTCGGTTTTGTCCCAGACGTCGAGTGATACCTAAGAGTTTATGCTTAGTCCACTATTATCGTTATCCACTTACATCCATATAGGTTTCGTTCGAAACTGTGTTATTAACTTCCTAAGTGAATTGAACCTTAAGCCGTGTTCGTAGCGTAATCTGTTGAACGAATTCCCATATCAAGTAGCTTCACGACGAGTAAGTGCGAAAATGACCGCGTTATTTGCTCGTGAGCTCTCGACGTATTATTCGAATGACCCCTTGCTGGTGCTGTGTGTCGAGAGTCAATCTGTAGGGAACCTCAAGGGGAAATATCTTCTCTTGGTCACGGTGACGGAGACGGCGGCACTAACGTCACTCTCTGGATCATCCAAGCAGAACTGAATATCTCTTTGGAGCTTCCTGCGGCTCTCTGACCATGCAACCTCGCCAACGAACGTTGGCCACTTCGGCAATCGGCCCTTTGGCATTTCTTCTGGCGTCCAAGAGATATCGGCGCTCTTGGTTTTCGTCTCACCGCGGACAGTTCTCGTATTTCGATCTCCAATTAATTCTTCCTGCAGAGATTAATATCTCTTGCTGCCCCGCGTCAAAGGTCGTGCGTAGAGCCTAGACGAAGGGTCAGTCACGGCGGTAAAAACGATGAATGATAACTCACTCGTACACGCAAGAGTCTGACGCATGTCGTCAGCAGATTGGCCATGCTCTGTTTCAACGATGACCAAGTTGATGGCCACCTTTTTCCTTTCCTTTCTCCGCGTCTGGACCGTACCAAAGAGACCAATCAGGGGTCCTTTGGAGACAGTGCACATTATCATTGTAGATAGCAGGTCTGAACACAGATGGGCATTTAGATGAGATAGGGATTGGAGTTGAACCAGGAGAGTCTGGGTTAGGGGGCGTGGCATGGACGGCATTAAGAATAATACCGGCGAAGTTGCACAGCAATCTCAGGTTTCCCGTCTGATCTAGCAATTGCAGCTTCGACCGTTTTCAGAACGAGGTCTAGGCATAATTTGCTATCTTACCAGGCATCTTTCAAGTTGACCTACTGCAGTGCTCGGAAATCTCAAATGGAGCCCGAAGCTGCTCTCAGTCCGTGTCTTCCGCTCTGGTAAGATGGAAGATGCGCTCAACGTCCATAATTGGGAGGGATTCGACTGAAAGTTTAGGATACCGAACTACCTCTTGTGTGGTCGTAGATGCCATGTCGGAAAGCAGAAGGGTGGTGTCTGAAGGTGGATGAAAATGTAAGAATGTAAGATAATGACCGTTACTTACTCCTCAGAGAAGTGAGATAGAAGTGAGAGGGAAGTGAGAAGAGAGAAAAGAGAAGAGAGGAAAGAGGAAGAAGAGAGATAAAGCAAAGACCCTCTCGGCCTGAGGCAGCGGCCTACCAGTAACTCTTTCCTTTCCTGTTATCCTCCAGGGCTACCTAAATTGGCTTATTTAGACTGTTAAACATACATCGATAGGTATACCCTCTTTTAGAATAGACGTAGAAGTAATTGAAGTCATTGCCAATTCACTATCCATAGATAAGGCATCTGCCACAAAAGTCCGGGCTTAGTCGATGGCGCACATATCCCGGGAGTCCTCCGCGATCTCAGATCTTGAGAATCAACCCTAGAGACTGCAGCTTTCTGGAAGAAGTGGACTAGCATTCCAAGGACCTTTTCATAGCCCTGATTACGGGCGATGGCAACACACTCGCTCCACTAGCAAATGTTAATAAGGCAGCCAGATATGATAAAACATACATTATTCATGTACTCACCTTCGAGTCATGACAGATCTTCAAAGTCCAGAAAAGTTGATCATCAGCCACCAGCCCGTAGATCGTGCAATCGCTTTTGTTCAATTCCTTTCGATCTTTGTGCGCGTAACCTTTATACAAATTGGATCCCTGTTTTCATGACGAAAATATCATAGAACACTCACCCATAGATGCTAGAGTTCGGGTTAAGCCCGATTGCACTTGCGCGGGATTCGGCTTTAAGCACGATAGTGTTCAGCGCGGAATCCCGGTTATTGTAAATCCCATAGTCTAGTTCTCCGGTCAAGATGTGTTCTTTTCACCACAAAGCGTACAGCCAAGCATATGGCCAAGCACGCCGTATCTCCAGATTTGCTTGGTCTCAATGTGGAGGAACTGGGCAGCGTCAGGGAGATGAGACAGAACAATCTTGCGAGCAAAACAAGGAGGGTCCAGGTAATGGTAAAATATGTGCTGGCCCCAGACGGAGAACTCTCACACTTGACTTTGGACAATGCTGCTGCTGGGTAGGGTCAGCTAATTGTGATATATTTGTCTTGCTTTCGAGTTACCGAGCTCTGGGTCATAGCAACTAGAGGCACAGCGTCGAGTTCATTGTCATTGTCGACGTGCTCTAGATTGAAGATGAGCTGGACCTCTTCGAGGTCTAGAAAAGAGGCTGTGAACATATTTTTGGATGTGATTCCCTAGACGAGAAAGGAGTTTTGGCCGGGCTATACTACGTGCCAAAGGAGCGCAGGGCCGCAAGACAGCTGCTTGATGATCCGTTGCTGCTCTAATTATACAAGTTCTGATTTGAATTAGTATGGGATAGGTAATTTTTGGCAGATGGGTAAAATAAGAGTATTCTCGGTTGTTGGATGTACGAGAAACGATTTGAAGGTTGGCCCCGGGTGCGGGCGAGCCGTGCGGCTGAGTAACGATCTTAACCGGCCCAGGTGACCTCGGGACCTCCCGAAGGCGCCCCAATGTCTTTGACGTCAACCCTCGAACTTGAGCAAAATTGAGACCAAGATGATGAATTCCAACGAGAAAGAGGTTTGTTCCATTGAGGTAGTTCCTTCATATTTCTATACTAATATCAAAAAAAGAAAAAGATTGTCAACGCAGAGGAGTATCAACAAGCTCGAATGGATCTCCTCCAACAAGAAAAAGAAGCCACACAGTTACTGCAAAGACTAGCTGCCTCGCGTCGGGAACTCCCTATGGTCCAAGTCTCTAACCCGGACCAATTCAAGTTCGACACCCCGGATGGAGAAAAGAGTCTGACAGACCTGTTTGACGGCCGCAAGCAACTGATAATCTATCACTTCATGCTCGGCCCCGGTGAACATCGCGGGTGTGTGGGATGTTCCTTTTGCATGGATCATGTTCCAAACCTCGGCCATCTACGGAGCCGCGACACCTCCTTTGTGGCTGTCGCGACTGCGCCGGTATCTGAGATCAGTACGTACAAAGAGCAGATGGGATGGAAGTTCCCTTTTTACAGCTCTGCCAAAACTCATCGGGCGTGGAAGGAAGCCGAAGGAAAGGGTGAGACTATTACTTGGAAGCCTGGAAATGGGTATTTCGGTTTGAGCGTTTTCAGAAAACATGACGATTGCGTGTTTCATACCTATGATACTACATCCCGGGGGATGGAAAGTATCCTGTCGACATACCATCTGTTGGATATGACGCCTATGGGTCGGCAGGAGGTTGGGAATGGGATGAGCAATTTTAGGCTTCATGATGAATACTGAAATGGAGTAAAATGAATAAGGTTGATATGTACAATGAACGATGTTGGCACCTCTATTCCATGGAGCACTCTGGTTGGTCTGTGACTTATGCAGGCATGCAGGTAACGTCCACAGGTGGTTAAAGTTATCTGGAAAACATCATCGGGCATTGACATCCGTCCTTGACGTCTGACCAGCGGAGAACCTACGTGCTCTCTTTTCTTCGCAACGTCAAGCGCCTGCAGAAACCACAAAGAGCCCATCTTTTCATAACCTGTCGAGGTAAGGCAACGAGCTACGAATGACGGCGTTTTCTGGCTCGCATGGTTGGTCCATTTGCGATGGGTTCTTTTTCTCCAACTTCGTTTGTACCTAAATTCCCAGTCTAGTCCATTCCTAGGGAAAATCAGGACTCAATTGAAACCACATAACTATTGATCCTTTTTACTAAATTTCAAAGGATTAATCGGTCGCGAGGAAATCTTCGCCTATACCAATGGCCGTTTCCTTGTTTATAAAGGACCAAATTGACCGACGATATGTGAAATTCGACCTGGACGCGCTTTGTAGTACTGCTGCCACTGCTGCCAGTCATCTCAAATCACAGCTTTCAAGAAGATGGAAGGCGGCTTTAGCAAAGTCCTTCTGATGCAAAGGGAGAATGGGATGAAAGTCATCGCCAAAGTGCAAGGCTTCACTAATCATCAATGAGGAAACACACGGACAAATCCAACCTAGAAATAGAGAGGCAACTCATCAGAAGCCTGAAACAGATAGTGAACAACTGGACACTTAATGTCAAAGTGAGACCTTTTTAACTTTTATGTAATGAGATTCACATTACCCTCAGCCTTTCTAGGGCGAAAACAGACACTCAATCATCTTCTTTCACTATATTTCACTCAATCTTCATACATACCCACATACATAAGTATGGTCTTTGATTCACGTCTTATTGTTCATCCTTCACCTGCCGATGTCTACTTTATACTTCATCACCTGGATCCGGAGGAAGTTAAAGAGCTTACACACCCTGTGTCTAGGGAGTGGAACGAAGTGAAAAGCTCGAGCGCGACGCGACCTTTTTGTTGGATCCACAGAGAGGCAAGGCCAATATAGCCTTAAGCCTCGAATTAGATTGAACAAAGGCCCAGATAACCCTCGACAAGTACGAATGGGACCAGAGGACGAATCAATAGGGTCCAGCGAATCCAGATCACCGCGGATCTGCGGAGAGGACGTGACCGTCTCTAACGCCCCGTTGATTATCCCATTCGAGCAACTGATGGAACGGACCAGGTCTCCCACCCGATTGTGATGTCATTCGGTTGAGCCATTATGCCCAGTTGAATCTTGTGGCAGGACATTTGGGACGCTTGCTAAGACGCGAACTTGGGATTCACTGGAGATTGTCCCTTCTGCTTCACTAAAGAAGAGATCGAGACCCATCAGCGCCAATTCGCTGATTATCAAGGTTGGCATCAAGTCCAGGCCTTTGCTCGGGAATGTCTGGATACCGATGCAGAAGGGTGGATATCACCAGATTTAGATTTCAAGAACAAACGAAATCTAAACAAGCAATTGCAGGACATGTACATTCAGCAAATGGCGGGCGAGAAAACTGAAAACTCCGGAGGAAGTGAAGGCAATTTAGCCTTCCCATTGTGAATCTTCCGTGAAGGTTTGAAGAAGACTGGTTTCTTTCTTGATTCTTGATACCAAGTATCTATGATAAAAACAAATTTCCAAACTCTTTACCCTTTCACATTCTCATAATCTGCCGTAAGAGTTTCCTTAATGATAGCCAAAATAGCCTTAACATCTTCATCAGACAGTCTGAGCTCCCGTTCTTCAATAACACTATCCATCAATACCACCGCAGTGTAATCGTCCTCCTCGCCCTCTTCGCCCTCCCCTTGCCCATCCACTTCCATCGCATCACCTCCATTAGCACCTTCCTCCCCAGCTTGCTCAGCAGCTGTATTACCAGTCACTCCCACCCCGAGATTCAGGATCATAACGACCTCGGCTTTGGTCAGTCCGTACGGCTGTAGGCGGACTACTAGGTCGCGGAGGGCGGCGTCCATGGGTGTTGTTTCTGTGGGAGAGATTGGTGGCGGCAGGGAATTAACATCTGCCTCGGTATTTTCTGAATTTGAGGTTCGCAGTGTGCCGGTCATTGCGGCTTGCGATTGTGATTTCGACTGGGAGGAGGAAGGGCGGGCTGTGTAGCGGGGGTATCGTAGGAGATGGGGGGAGAGACGGCTTGCATAGTTGTGAATCTGGGAGAATTAATCAGCTGCTTTTTCTTCTAGCGTTGGTTTCTTGGTGTCTGGCTTGGGAGCTTGGGGTCTGGTCGACTCCGCTTCACGCTGGGGTCTATGATACAGCTACACTAGGCCACAATGGCCCAAGTATATATGGCAAGAACAGCATAGGGTTCGCACCTCTTTAACCACTGTATTATGGTCTCTGAGATCTGGGCTTGGTGCCCAGTTTCCCGAATTTGGCGGTGGTCGGCGGGGTGGATTGGAGGTCAGATAGGCCAGGACCTCGACATTGGTCAGGACGGCGGTTTGAGGGTCAATGATCTAGATTATTCTGTTAGCAGCAATCCTAAGCTTCAATAGAATAGACCTTACCCTCATTTTGGGTGTTGAATGTAGCAAGATAGACTGGAGCAAATGGGCGACTGGAATGAGGAAAGGAAAATTGTTTGAACTGCCGGCAGAAATCGGGCGGTGTCTTTATCTACTTGCATATCTAGGCCAAAGCGAAGTATATAGAGATGAAGCAACGGAGATGAGACTGGAACGGAGTTAGTTGCGACTACAATTCGATGCATGGGCCTACAAGTTTAAAATCCAGTACTGAAGTATGAACAGATTATTCCAGCTAAAACTGTACTGCCTTGTTCCTAACGAGCACCCTCTGCGCCAGTGAAAGACCGGTAGATCAACCTCAAAATGCCCCAAAACATGCGAGCAGCAGGAAGATTGCAACAAAAAAAAGAACAGAAATAAAAAAAAGTGTGATATCATACAGATCCCAGGAAAGCCATCCGGTCACATTGCACAAACTTTTGAAAACATACGCTTACTCTCCCTTGGACTTCTTCTTCTTCTTCTTCTCATCGTCGTCTTCGGAACGCTTGCGCTTCTTGCCATCGTCCTTGCTGGCCTTCTTAGCTTCCTTCTTGGACTTCTTCAAGTCCTTCTTGCTGATTGAAGTGGGGTTGCCATCTTTGTCGAAGGTGATCTCGCCACGCTCGAGCTTCCGCTCGTATCGCTTAACGCTGAGACCAGCCTTAGCAGCCAATTCCTCAATGTCACTCTTCTTGGACTTCTTCTTGGGGGTTTCATCCTCGGATTCATCAGAGTCGGCATCAGCCATCTCCTCATCCTCATCCTCATCCTCAACCTCCTCGACAAGCTTCTTCTTCTCCTTCTTTGACTTCTGGGCAGTGGCAGGCTCCTCGGAGGCCAGGGCATCGGCATCGGGGTTGTACTTGCGGGCTTCCTTCAGGTCGAACTTCTCGGCCTGAGCACCGTTGGGGGCAATGGCAACACCACGGGGCTTAATGGGCTTGCCCTCCATACCAGCAAGCTTGCGCTCAAGGTTGAAGCGGGCCTCGGTACCGAGAGCAGCCTTGTCCTCCTCGGTGACATCGTCACCCCACTCGGCGAGGGAGTCGACACGGATACCCAGAGAGGCCTTGGCGGCGAGGATACGAGCCATCTTGCCCTTGTTGCGGCCGGTAGCCTGGCCGATCAAAGAAGCGTGGTAGATCAGACCGTACTTAGGGGTATCGTGCTTAGTCTTGAGGGCACGGAAAAGGGCCTTCTCGGCACCCAGAATCTGGATGGTACTGGCGGGGCTCTTAGACAAGCTGGTAAGGGAGCCAGCGTGGGCAATAAGACGGGCACCAACGAGATCACCGACCAGAGCAGTCAGGTTGGGTGCGATAGCGTTCATGCGGGAAGTGAGGTAGCTAGCAAGCTGGGAGCGGTAGTCGTAGAAACCGACGACCTGCTCGGCGAGAGCCTGGATGTTCTCCAGATCCTCGGGGCTGATCTCGGTACCCATGGAGCGGTCGGCAGCAGCCTTGACGGCACCCTCGATCTCCTCGGGCAGGATCTCAGCAAGATCAGCGGACTCCCAGTTGGAGCGCATACCCATCTTCAGAACGAGCTTGGCGTAGGCAATGTTGTCGTTGAGGATCTTAGCCAGCTCAGGGAAGTGCCATCCGTACCATTCCTTGACACGCATAGCGTAGGTGTTCAGCTCCTTGTCAAGATCATCGAGAAGACCAATAGCCTGCACGATCATAGTGTCGATCTTGTCGGGGGAGAACTTGAGCTTGTGACGGGCGAGAGAGTGGGACAGACCAAGGGACATGGTGGACATATCACTGGGGGCAAGACCGGGAATGAGGGTGGTGAGGTGCTCACGGATGGCACGGAAAATGTCGTTGGTGGTGGAGTCAGCAACCAGTTGGATGTCAAGGCCGGGAAGCTTGCTGATGGAGTTTCCTATTCACAATCACAGTCAGCATACATACTGTGGGAAGAGGTTTTACTAGATTGACCTACCGAGCTTGGTATCGGCAACAGCGAGGGACACCTTCTTCTCATCCTTGATTCCGTCAAGAAGCGAGGCCAGGCGCGGGGTGACCTTGCCCTCCATAACGGAGGCAGCCTCCTCCAGAGCTGAGGCAGCGCTGTCGAACTTCTGGAAGCTCTTCAGCTTGAGACTAGAGGTCCTGTTAGTGACATTGTCGCCGATAACAAAATTTTTGCGCCAGTTCAGTGAGTCGGTTTATTCCCACTCAACATTTTTTCTTTATTTGGCAGGATTGGAAGAGTCAATTGACGTACAGGTTGGAGACACCCTCCGCAGTGGAGGCCTCCTCGGCGATATCATCACGCTTGAGGAGCTTCTTGTCCTTGGCCTTCAGCAGGGCATAGCCCGCGCTGGTCTCAGTAAGGATGAAAAGCGTCATGGTGCGCGGCCACGGCGTT